TGGAGTCCATAATATCTTTGACATAAAATGCATACTTTACAGAGCACCATTCAGCAACAAAATGAACGAGGTCAGGATGTATGTAAATACCTTTGAATTCATTCATAACGCCTTAGTAAGCTCACAAAATGTTTGTTTTGAGGTTGAGCCACTTTTGGCTCGACCGTATTCTTTCAACCAAAACTCAAGAATTTTCCTGCGTGAATTTTGTATAAAAAGCAACCGTCTGAATTCCGGCGGTTGTTATATTCTTCACAAAACATTTACGATGAGGTCATGACAAAACATTTACGATGAGGTCATGACAAAACATATACGATGAGGTCATAACAAAACATTTACGATGAGGTCATGACAAAACATTTACGTTTAAGTTCCATGAGGTCATAACAAAACATTTACGTTTAAGTTCCATGAGGTCATAACAAAACATTTACGATGAGGTCATGACAAAACATTTACGATGAGGTCATGACAAAACATATACGTTTAAGTTCCATGAGGTCATGACAAAACATTTACGTTTAAGTTCCATGAGGTCATAACAAAACATTTACGTTTAAGTTCCATGAGGTCATAACAAAACATTTACGATGAGGTCATGACAAAACATTTACGATGAGGTCATGACAAAACATATACGTTTAAGTTCCATGAGGTCATGACAAAACATTTACGTTTAAGTTCCATGAGGTCATGTTAGAAAACATGTTAGAAAAGGTGTTAGATCTAACATTCTAACATAAACATTATTTTTGGGTCATTTACACTCATTACGATGAGGTCATAACAAAACATTTACGTTTAAGTTCCATGAGGTCATAACAAAACATTTACGATGAGGTCATGACAAAACATTTACGATGAGGTCATGACAAAACATATACGAAGAAACCTTGACAAAGCATATACGATGAAGAAATCATGACAAAACATTTACGATGAGGTCATGACAAAACATATACGTTTAAGTTCCATGAGGTCATAACAAAACATTTACGTTTAAGTTCCATGAGGTCATGACAAAACATATACGTTTAAGTTCCATGAGGTCATAACAAAACATTTACGATGAGGTCATGTTAGAAAACATGTTAGAAAAGGTGTTAGATCTAACATTCTAACATAAACATTATTTTTGGATCATTTACACTCATTACGAAGAAGTTTTGACAAAACATTAACGATGAAATCATGACAAAACATTTACGATGAAGTTTTGACAAAACATTTACGAAGAAGTTTTGACAAAACATTTACGATGAAATCATGACAAAACATTTACGATGAGGTCATGACAAAACATGTACGATGAAATCATGACAAAACATTTACGATGAAATCATGACAAAACATGTACGATGAAGTTTTGACAAAACATTTACGAAGAAGTTTTGACAAAACATTAACGATGAAATCATGACAAAACATTTACGATGAAATCATGACAAAACATTAACGATGAAATCATGACAAAACATTTACGATGAAATCATGACAAAACATGTACGATGAAGTTTTGACAAAACATTTACGATGAAATCATGACAAAACATTTACGATGAGGTCATGACAAAACATGTACGATGAAATCATGACAAAACATTTACGATGAAATCATGACAAAACATTTACGATGAGGTCATGACAAAACATTTACGATGAGGTCATGACAAAACATTTACGAAGAAACCTTGACAAAGCATATACGATGAAGAAATCATGACAAAACATTTACGATGAAGAAATCATGACAAAACATATACGATGAATTCATGACAAAACATATACGAAGAAGTCATGACAAAACATTTACGAAGAAGTTTTGACAAAGCATATACGATGAATTCATGACAAAACATTTACGACGAAGTCATAACAAAACATTTATGTTATACAGTAATGTTAGTCATGAATGTTTGTCCTAAGTGTTGGCGTTAGTGTTGAAAAATAATGTTTGTCCTACATGAAGCCGTACAAGCGTTTGAATTTGTTTATGCATAAAATTACTCTCTTGTTTTCTGTATCTATCATACAAACATAAGCATCACCTGTTTTTGTAAAGTTTATATGAAGTTTTCGATAGTTAAGACCTGTATAATAATAGAATGCGTCCTCATTCTCAACATAGTAGTAGAACTCAAACGAATGCTTACCATAATCTGTTATTTCAACAGCTTCGTCAGATATTTCATCAACGAACTCATAAACTATATCGCCATACTTGCTTTTATTTCTATTGTTTTCAGATCTAGAACACCAACGAAGGTTTGAGATTCTGTTGTCCGTTCTATCATGATTTATATGGTCTATTTCTTTCAAATTGTTTGGATTTTCAATCCACTGTTCTGCAATAATTCTATGCTTTAAATGCGTTTTGTTGTTTAAACTAAGCTCAATATAACCATGATTATTTAAGCATTCACTCTTAATATGTTTGTTTTTCTTTCGACGAATAGTAAAAGGATATGTCGTACAAATCTCATAATCTTCATGATTTCTCAATGTTTCCCATTGAGTTTGTTCCCCACTAACGTTCTCATTGACGTCCTCAATATCTTCTTCCTCACTGAACTCGTCAATATTTTCACTAGCTCCTTCTGTAATGTTTTCATCGGCATTGTCATTGACTTCTTCTGTAATGTTAGATGTTGTTGTTTCGCTCATGTTCTTTCACTAATGTTAAAAGTTATGTTGTACGAATTTTGAACAGAATTTAGAGCAGTTATGAAACAATGAAGTATTTTTAAGCTATTGAAAGGAACTATGAGAGTGAAGTACATGACAGCAATGACAAAAGGAACTAATATCAAACCTAATGAAATCGCTCACGAGGACATAGAGCTTAACAAGTACTTTGTGGAGTATCTTATAAGTGAAGAGTATGTAAGACCTTACTTCATGTTTGACAGCATGAATGAGGATGTTATTTCATGGTTAAAGAATATAAGCAATGTTTTCGGTAAGTACGTCATAGATGACAAAGGTCTTGTTGTATTTTATGAGACAGCAATACGAACACAGGAACTAATGGATATTATGCACTCAACAGCAAAGAAAGGATTTAGTACTATTGGCATGAATGAACATTGCAGGAATGACATATACAACCTATGCTCACGAAAGCCTTACACAAAAGCAATACAAATGATAGAACATAAGTGTCTAAGGTCAGCAAATGAAATCATTACTGTCAGTGGTTATGAAAGAACTGTTAGCAAAGATGAGTGGAAACAGCTATTCATATTAAGGAAGGACGTTGCTGAACTAGTTAAACCTGTTGCACAAACATTGTTTCAGATAAGACCAGCAATGACTAAGAACCCTTTGACCTTAGTCAATGAGACCATAGAGGTTGAAGATAATGACATGAAAGAACTAGGAATGAATGAGAGAAGTTGTGAAGGATGTTTGAGTCAAAACACATGGTTCTTCAGAGCTGTTAAGAAACTTAGTAAAGAACGACAGAAATATTTTATAGAGAAGTATTGCAAAGGATGTAAATGAATTGCTTGAAATAGAACTTAGAGACACTTTCACACTAAAGGACTTGAGAAAAATAAGTACATGAGTGAAGAGGTATTGACATAGTTAGTGTTATAAATGACTTAAGAAGATGTGTTGTCGTTATTGACGGAGCACGTATGACATATCTAGTGAAAGATTATGATGGAATACGAGACACAACAACACTTGTGTCAGTAGATAGCAAGGAATTCAATAAGCTCATGAAGAGTGTTTATGTAGGACGTATTGAGGAGAAGGATGTGAACGCACTGATGATTTATGAAGCGGGTCAGAACAAGAACTATCTTATGAAGTCAGGCATGAGATTCTTTGACGAAAGAGATGACATTTACAGCTATTTCAGAGGATATGAGTATGAGGTACTGAATGAAGTAGATGAAAGCGTTATTGAAGGATATTTGAAACATGTTCACGATGTCATATGTAATGAGGATGAAGAGCTTTATGAGTATGTTTTGAACTGGTTCGCCTACATCGTTCAAAATCCTTGTGGAAAGACTGGAACAGTACTTTTGTTAATAGGAAAGCAAGGAACTGGTAAGAATGTACTTAGTAATGTTCTATGCGAGCTCATTAGCAAGTACGCCAACAATAATATAACGGCAATAGAGAATGTGGTTGGTAGATTCAATGCTGCTATTGAGAACATGAAGCTCATCGTATGCAATGAACTAAGCTCATGCGATACGTCTAAGGTCATGAACCACGACGCACTAAAGTCAATAGTAACAGAGACTCAGTTGGACTTAAATCAGAAGTGTCAGCCAGTAAGAAAGATAGAGAATGTTTGTAATATCATCATGATATCTAACAACTTCAACTCAGTAAAGATTGACAAAGACGACAGAAGATTTGTTGTCATTGACGTAAGCAGCAGATACAAAGGAAATTACGAATATTTCTCAAATCTCATTGAAAGCTTTAATGAAGAGTTTTATTCAAACTTACTGACGTACTTCATGAGGAAAGATTTAAGTGAATTTGATGTAAGGAAGATACCATTCACCAGGGCTAAACAAGAACTCATCGAAATGAACAAAACACCTTACCAAATGTTTTACGAGGAGTTCTATGAAAAGTTTGTATCCGGATGGAATTGTACAGAGTGCTACAGAAGATATAAAGAATTTGCGAAGGAGAATGAATTCTTTGCATGTAGTTCAAATGTATTTGGTGGCAAGATGAGAGAATTTGTGAAAAGAAGTAGAAAGCGAGACGGTTCTGCAAGAAGTTATATTTACGAAGCAAGTATGATATTAGAAGGTCGTGGAAAGAAAGAAACAGTGAATTATGAGGAAGTGCTTGAAAAATTCATGGAGTACATGGGAAGCAATATAACATACAACAAAGACATATACAGTGAGTTTAAGTACTATTGTGAACAGCATGAGATTGAAGTAATGAGTAAAGGAGACTTTGAAACGCTTATGAAGACAGTGAGGAGGTCGTTCATGAGAACATGATGAAATAGTTCATGAGAACAGTGAGGAGGTCATACATGAGAACAGTGTGAAATAGTTCATGAGAACAGTGAGGAGGTCATACATGAGAACAGTGTTGAAATAGTTCATGAGAACAGTGAGGAGGTCGTTCATGAGAACAGTGTTGAAATAGTTCATGAGAACAGTGAGGAGGTCGTTCATGAGAACAATGATGAAATAGTTCATGAGAACAGTGAGGAGGTCGTTCATGAGAACAATGATGAAATAGTTCATGAGAACAGTGAGGAGGTCGTTCATGAGAAAGTGATGAAATAGTTCATGAGAACAGTGAGGAGGTCATACATGAGAACAGTGTTGAAATAGTTCATGATGTCGTTCGTGAAGAAGCCATTGCAACAAAGAATGAGATAAAGGATTTCATAGAACTTAACAAGGAGGAGTTTAAAGAAGGCTATGAAGTGAAAAGATGTGAAGAAGATTTCTTGGCGTATTTGAAGAAAAAGAGACTAAAGCCAATGGCTCAAAATAAGTTTCAATCGATGTTTGAAAAGAAACGTTTGAGCTATGGTGGTGTAAGAAGCACATATTACTTTGTTAAGAAGTGAGGACATTTATTTTTGTCGTTAGTGTTGGAGTTTTGTATTTGTTGTTAGTGAGAGAATAAATTAAATCATGAACTTTGCCATGGTCTCTGTCCCTAGTAGTTTTCATTAAGTTCTGGAAATAATGAAAGTCATAAACTTTGCCATGGTCTCTGTCCCTAGTAGTTTTCATTATCTCACAGAGTTAATGAAAGTCATACTTTCTATCAGATGAAGCATGTAGATGAATATAATGAAAGTTAGTGGGTTTGCCACGAGTTATGAATAAAATATTGGCATATTAGATGAGATAGCTGATGAAACAGATGAAGATAAATTAAATCTTGGACTTTGCCACACTCTGTCCCTAGTTCCTCAAAATCCTTGACAACGTTGCTTAGAAATTTTGGTTCAAAACCTCATCTGATTTTAATCTGTTATGCTACCTGTTAAGTTTCGCGAGATTATAAATGTCATGGAGTTATATAAAAAGGAGGGACAGCTAGGGACACTGGAAGTACTTGTAAGGCTATCTGTTAAGATTGCATGAAATACTAAAAAGTCATGAAATCCATTATCGCTGTGCTAGCTTCACCTTAGAGTAAAATGACGACTAAAGTCACTGAAGCAATGAAACAAAAGTTTTTGGTAGAATACATTAAATCAGGAACTATTCCAGAAGGTTTTTACATTCATACTATGAAGGATGGTAGAGTTCAGTTTAGAAAGATAAAACAACCATTAGACAGAGAAGGTATATTAAGGAAGATTAAACTTCATGAGGACAACATTGCTGAACTTAAGAAGAAGTTAGAAGAGTTGGAGAAAGCAGACGACAGTGAGGAATAAAATATTTCATTAGTTTTATTTTTACTGAAAATTTTTATTTGGATGTAATGACGAAAACTATTGAGATAACAAACTACAACGGTCATGAGTTCAAGAATTTGTTCTTCGTTCCTCGTGAAAATACATTCTATCAGATACGAGGGAGAAAGGGTAAAGTTAGTTTGAGCGTTTATGAAGGAATGAAGAATGGAAAGTTTATACAAGCATACGATACAAACGGTAAGCGTGTTTCATTAGCTTTGTCAAAACTTACAGGTATAAACTATGACAGTGATTTTGACCTATATGAAGAAGAAAGTGAGTCAGAAGATTATGAGCTGTTATATGAAGCACAGCAATGGGAGGAGTTGCAATACTTTTGTAAGTGAGAACGTTTATTTTTACATTAGTGAAGTCGTTTGTGAAAATATTAGTGAATTCGTTAGTGAAGTCGTTAGTGTTGTAAAATATACGTTAACGGTTTTGTAAAGTGTCAAATTCACATATAATGGGTAAGGAGGCGCGCAGTGCCGCCGTACCCATGATATGTATACTAACTTAAAGGTAAACAGCCAAATGATCCAATGTTGGATTTATCGAATGTATACGATGAAATGACCATTTTTACCGGTAAGTTCAACCTTGCCTTAGACACATTTGCATCCCCAGAATTCACGCATGTTGCAAAGATTTTCATTATGTTCACAATATATCAAATGATGAACAAATACAAACAACTTCAGTCAGCTAATATCAATCCGGAAAAACTTGCTGACAAATTATATAAGCCTATTACACGTGATGAGATCCGAAATAGAATGATTGCTATTGCTAACAGCATACACCTTGCTAAAGTTCTCGAATTCGCCAAAAAAGCATACACTTGTGTCGCCATCGATGAAGGCAAGACACATGATTACCACAATCTTGATTTTGTCTTAACAAATCCGTTGGAGCAAATGATGCCATACCCAGTAGAGGCGATAGATATGAAGGATGGCCAGACAAGTCAGGATTATAAATCCGCAATAACAGCAGGATTTAACAGAATTGACATTAGGAAAGTCAAGATAGGTAGTGTGGTAGTTGACGGAGGACCAGCACAGTTAAAATTCATCAAAGATACTTGGAATGATTCATTCTATCATGACAGAGATCCAAAATACTACAAGATATTGCTTATTCCCTGTTTGTGTCACAGAATCCACAACAGCTATCAATATATTGCTGGCAAGAACAACCAGTTACAAAGTTTAGTAAAGGATGTGCACAGAATTGCAGAACTTTGTCGCATTCATGCTGACGATATAGGTGCACAATGTCCACAGCATGTATCCACCAGATGGATATATGACTATAATATATGTGTCTTTATTCTTAAGTACGAAAACAAAATCAAGCAATATATAAATGTAGATCACGATAAAATCGTACAATTGAAAGATTGTTTAGCTGTTCTTAAAAAGCTAATCTTAGTATTCGAATCGGATAAGGCATTGTTGGCAAATTGTTACATTTGGCTTCGTAAAGCCATATCAGCTCTCAATCTTTTGACATCCAATTTGCATAATGCATTCGGATCCATCTTGGCATCTTCATTGGATAGCTATACCTTGGACTCTGACTTTGGTGGGCTATGGTGTTTGGCATTCTCTCTCACGCCGAGAGGAAGGTTCTACTTCCATAGAAAGTTTGTTAAAAACGAAGAAGTAGAAGATTTGGCCGATCCCTTGAGTTCCTTTCAAAGTGAGCATATTCCTGATAAAGATCCGGCAGAAGATTTACAGGACATTTACATGGATTCTATTTTTGAGGAAGGTAACACAAACGCTGTAATTGATGTAACAGATGAAGGCACATTTCGTAGAATTGTCGAATCTGATGATCAACTTAGGCTTACATTGCAAGATGTACGCGAGGATAATCATCAGACTGCCGAAAATGATCTAACAGCAGCTAAAGATTACCTCAAGCGCATTTTGGTTCAATTCCGATTGAACGAAAGACAAAAAACGCTTGTACTCTCGTTATATAATACGTTCATCAATAAGGAATCAGACATCTTTGAGAACGATCTGATGGACGAGGCACAAAATTATGCTTGGGAAGAGATCTCGCATAGAATTGGAGAAAGATCCATCCTTGCGGAAATAGCATTACGCTTGTTATGTTCATCTCCTTCGGAGGCAACATGTGAACGTAATATCAAAGCACAAAGGTTAATTTTGAACGTTAGGCGGTTAAGATCCAAGAAAAACTTGTTAAATAGCCGTCATATCTTAATGGCAACTAAATGAAATAAACATTTTGTTATTATTTATTTTTCAATATTAAATAGCCATTTTCTTCACAAATATTTCAATGTGTTTTTACAACAATTTAACATTCAATAATTTATAATGAATCGTTCTCTTTCATTAAACATTAATTAAAACCTCCGGTCATGAATATTTTTTTTGTTATTATTATTTTGTAATTTAAAATCTAATAATATATAAGAGTAATATTTATTATTTTACATTTTAATTCGTTATGATAATCTTTATATTTACAATATATAAAGCACCGATCCACAGATAATATAGTTCAGTGGTAAGAGTCATAGTATAAGCCTTAAGTTCCCCGGTTCGACCCTAGGGCCTTTTCGCTTTTTTTCTTTTTAGATTTTTTTTTCTGAAGTTTATTTTTAAGGTTCTCGCTGGCGCCCCCCCCCCCCGTTCACCAAAAAAATTTTCGATTTTTGCTGGCGACCCCCCCCCTTCGCTCGATATTTTTTTTGTGAACGGGGGGTCGCCAGCAAAAAAAGAGTAGGTGACAAAAGCGCATACTCTTAAATTAACCTTAAATGTTTATTTTTCGATATTTTCGGTATTAACCTTATTGTAAATTTTTCCGGTGATAAATTTATCACACTGAGGTTATTTTTCCGGTGAGATTTTTAACCTTGATTTAATGAAATTAATATATATAAATTTTATTATTTTTAATTTCGAATGAGTATAATAAAATATTTTTTATATCGTCATAACTCTCATCACTGTTGTGATTCCAAATGCGATTATTAAGGTTCAAGTCGCTAATGTTTTGAATGAAGATAGATCAGTAAGAATTCTTACAAGGGCAGGTAATCGGATTGTTGAGCAAAGAGCTTCAAAACACGATGAATGTTTGAAATTAATTCAACACATTTTGGAAATTGTCGAAAGCCGAAGGATTGAACCTAATGTCCTTATTCCATCTTTGAAGACAATATTAAATTTGGCACAAAGAAGTTTAAAGGAAGAGTAAGCAAGATTAGATAATTTGGACTTTTTTTAAAATTAATGAATAAACAGTATATTTTTGAAGTGTAAGCTTATTTACCTGAAGCTATATTACTTAATATAACATTCAAAGTATTATTGCTATTTATTGGAGAACAAATTTATGTAATTTTCACATGAAAATTGATAAATTTGTATTTCCTTATGATAATCAATTTTTGTATTTGTAGAGAGTCTCCCTGCATGATATCAAGACTTGGCTATTGGTCTTTATCCATTTTTGAAAATTGTATTGTAAATTGTAAGAATTTCTGAATACTACTACTATAAAATATAATTGCTTATCAATGTATATTCTCCCTGCATGATATCAAGACTTGGCTATAAGTCTTTATCCATTTTTGAAAATTGTATTGTAAATTGTAAGAATTTCTGAATACTACTACTATAAAATATAATTGCTTATCAATGTATATTCTCCCTGCATGATATCAAGACTTGGCTATAAGTCTCTATTCATTATGAGTATGACCCCATTTTTTTACAAAAAGTGCCGAGTTGCAACTTTGTCCCAATCTCCAAAAAAAAAACGATGTCAAAATTTATCCCAAAAATTTAAAGAAAATCGAAGAAAGTGCATCCCAGGGATTATAAAATTTAAGTTTTCACATCTTTATCTCAATTGAGTTATTAATAGTCATATCAGGATAAAATTAAGCAATAAAAATCTCATTTATTAAGTATCTGAGAATTTTTGGGAAAATTTAAAACAAGAAAAGGGTTTAATTTTGGATGTCCATTCTATATTTATTGTAAAAATAGTTTATTCGTGAAATTGCTCCGCTCAATCTCTGAAGTTTACTGGAATTAAGACAAAAATACATTCCACATATTTTATGTGTTATTATTTTCTGGCCATTTTCATACATTTAACAATTACTGAAAAAGTGACAATCTTGGAGAATGGAAATTGAAACAAATAATCCGGTTCCAGAATCCGAGAGAATCAGACAAATTATCAAAGGTAATTTTCAGAATCTTCGTCAGAAACAAAATCAGAATCATGAACCCATGTCTCTTACTGATGATATAACCTTTTTAGTTAAATTTATCAATGAATCTGTCTATTTCCCAATTCCAATATTGAGATCAGTTGGTGTCATCGTAATGAAAGGTGAAATAGCTTTCCATCTTCAAATTTTCCCAGAATACATTGCTTATCCTCGATTTAAGAACAGATTACCAGCAGAAAAATGGATAGAAAAGCAACCACAGAATGATCCTCAATGGCAGCTTGACAAGCTGATCGGTCCAGCCAATGCAAAAAATTGGTGTGTCTTTAAATTCCCAGAGACATCAAGTTTGAATCAATACATTATACAAAAACCACGTGTAGTTGCTACAGAGGCTAATATTAACCTACCATTCCAAGAAAACACGCCATTACCTTCTGAGGCCATGAATAAGTCTCAATTTAGTAATCTTTTCCCACTTGTTACGATTCAGTATGAGCGTGTTGTTGCAAATGAAACTATCTTCGAATACGATCCTCAAAAAACTTGGAAAAATCCAAAGCTTGCAAACTGCAAGATTTGCCATGTTGCTTTTGAAGAGATTCGACCACCTGTTACAAAGTAACTGAATGTTCATCAATTTTACCTTTCTTCATCTAATTTTTTTTATATCTCATTTTGTTATTATAAAATACATTGCTTATTACAATATTTAACACTCAGATTTTTAAATAATAATGTTCATTGTACTACAAAACGGTCAAAAACAAAATTATTTGATAAGTTAAAAATTTGTAAACCCTAAATACGAAAACACAATAGAGAAATGAATAAACTACATAAATTTATTATTTATTTTTCTATAGAAAAAAATACATTAATATAAAAGATAATATATATAAGAAACACTTACAAATCATAAGTTCCAATTGTCTGGTCATCAATTGACATCAGTTCCTGACTTATTGTTGCGTCTTCAGGTAAATCTGTCACTTTCTTCTTTCCTTCATTGAGAACGAAGTCCATGTGTAAGGCAGCATCATGGACTTCGTCATTATTATACAGTTCAGCGATCTCAGTGTCAATTCCAACAATGGATGGCCACAAATTTACGATTGTAAGGTGTTGTAATATACGAATTATACAATAATAAATAGCAAGAGATGGCTTATGCATCTCTTTCCATTCATTGAAAGCAATTCTGATCGTTGTTACTATAGCATTTTGCTTTTCCATTTTTCTAATTGCGATAAGAGCTGCTTCATCGGTCTGTTTCGATTTCCTTTGGATTGTTGATTGTGCCAACAAAAAGAAAATCTGTCTTCTCGTTGGCTTTTTCACTGCAGAAGGGAAATTTGATTCAATATCATTAAGTAATGGGGATATCTTATCAATTGCTTTTTGACTCTTAAGAAATGTCTTGATATCCAGCGATTGGAGTATCTCTTTGTTCGTCATCGTCTGTATCGGAGCATGATGAGGAACAAACATCGGAGCTGACTGGAATTGTATATTGTCATGCTTAATAGAATGCATGGAGTACTCTATAAAGTGACTTAACGTGTCAAGAGCTAACTTTTTGTCCCAATTAAATTGTAAACTTGCAAAAAGTGACACCAACGATTGTTTTGAACCAGATCTTTGAGCGAATAGAGCCATATCTTTGAAGTTTTTGGTTTCTGAGCTTGCCATGTTCAGGATCAATCTGTCGATCACAGGAACAACTTCAAAAATATTTCCGTTGTCCATATCAATTAATAAATTTGAATTCTTAATTGTTTGACAGTTCTGGCTCATTATTTGGTCATCAGGGTGTTCGACAAACAAATGTGTTGATGGTTTGCCCCTTGTAAAGTTGATGAAACATGAGAAATAGTGTGGAGAAAATACAATTGCGCATTCTCCGCAATGGTAGAAGGCAATTGGTATTTCTGTATTAGGAGCATCGATCATTATGTAATCATTGAAGTTTGTTGGGTAAACTGATATGAAAAATCCAATCTTTCCTGGTGATGTCGGAATAACTTGTTGAATTAAGAGAATTTTTGATTTATAATGCGACAAAAAGACTCTTCTATCTGTAAATTCGTAGTATGGAAGATGAGATAGTGACAATGGCGAATAGGAAAAGTCAGGAGACAACTTTTGTTCTTCAAGTAATGTAAATGGAAGAATTGGGAGAGTACTGACGCGTCCTTTAGTGAACTGGAACTCTGATAATACCATTGCATTATCATATCTATGTACTACGGACAGTAATAAGTTGCGAATATCAAATTTCCACCAGATAACTGAGTAGATATTGACTCCACCACGTACCCTTTGGAATTTAATTTCGCTTTTGTTGACAGTAATCGTAAGATGAGCTATGTTATTCCCAATAATATGAAGTAATTGATAAGCGTTGTTCTGTTTTTGAAGTATAAAGAAGGCAGTGATCGGATCATTTGACTGTATAGGTGATGATCTGGCCATGGTCTGAATATCTACAATATACGATGAAAAAACGAATCTTTGTTCAACTGGGATTCTTTCTGTTATCTGTATTAACTCTTTATCATGAGATAGTGCAGCAGATACAATATCAATGTACCCTTTAAATGATATAACTGTTAATGATGAGCCATCAGTATTCACTTGCTCTACAATTGTATGGCTTAATGTATTAACTGAGAATAGAAGTGAGCTACTCTCTGACTGACCAACAATTCGGACGCGGGAACCTTTTTCCCCACGCACTCCTTGGCGCGGAAATGTGGGGTGAAATTCCAACATCCAAATATAAAAAAATTTGTTGTCAATTTTGTCGGTTCAGAATCCACAAAGATTGTTGCAGATAAAGAACTCTTATTTTCTTTAAATTTTTATTGTCCATTAACGATGAAACATCGGTAAAGTTAAACAATAAACATTTGAGAACTTTATATGAGAAAACTGCTACTTTTTTATCTGCTCAGAGTTCAGATCCACCTATATCAGATAAAGTAAGGTGGCCGTTTCTGGTTAAATCCATTAAAATCTGGGAAACTCAAATGGTATTAAATTTTTTTTTCAAAAAAATTCGGGCCTCCGGCCAATAACAAAACCAAATTATTTGCAGTTAATATGAAATATGCCCTTATTATTTTTCCTAATTTTTTTCCTCCTTCTCTTCTTTCTCTTTCTTTTCTCCTTTTCTTCTTATTTTCCCTTTATTTATTCTCTTTTCTCCAAGTTTTTAATTATATATTAGAAAGATGTTAAAAATACATATAAAATAGTAGTATTAGTGATTTAAAAATCATTAGATAAAAATATTTTGTTTCTATTTCAATGTTTTCGATCAAATTATTCAATTTTCAAAATAAGTATGAAGCAAAAGAGTTTCTAAAGAGTAATATTACATTTCTCATCTCATATATTCTAGATCCGAATTTATACATACCAAAAACCTACTCAATATGATATACATTATTAAACTTCGCTCATAATTGATAATTTAACAGCTTTTTAAAATGTTAAACCTATTAAATTTAATCTCTGCAATGTTAGGCTTGATCAATAAAAAAAAATGTAAAAATCGAAATTAAGTCAAGAGATATTGATGATATTAATAGGCGGGGCTTAATATTTGTAATATATCGATATATCCTTACACTAGGCCATACAATTGAGATTTATAGAATCTGGGATAAAAAACCTTGAGGTAAACCACTGAGATTATGGTTTTGACTAATATGAAGTGAATATAGTTGATCTTTCAATGATATATTTGAATTAATGCCTTCTTTTATCAAAGGATAATCTAATTTTGTGGAAGAAACTTTTATCTTAGGAAAATCGTATTGTTAAAGCACGTTGAGTCATCCTAGGAGAAATTTTTGCTAACCCATATATAATGGGGAACCTCTTCTTATTCCCAGAAAACATGTGTGGCATGGGGAAAATTGAGAACTTTTTTTACAAAATTGAGAGATTTTGTAAATAAATTGAGAGGAAAAAATGGGGAAAGAACACCAGAATTGGTAATAAAAAATACATGAGATTCGCACGAAATTAGCATAGTATGCACCGCCATGAATAGTAAATGTATATTGCAACAGAAAATTATACGGGAAACGAATTTAATATCTCCAAAAATATTTTGAAAATCAAAAAATAAAAATTTTTTATTACCATATAAACCAGATTTTTTTACCTTGGGGTACGTTTCCCAGCGGTTATTAACCAGAATCGGCCAGATTAGATAAAGAAATATGAGTACTCTCTTTATTCATTTTACAGGATAACTCATCGATATGAAATTTGAACTTGGAGTTTTTATGAATTTGATTAAGAAATGTGATGTTGATCTTGAAGAAAATATCTGTATCGCAGATAATACATCTAACAATAGTGGTTATTATCTTATAGAGGATTTTAAGAAATGTAGTTAGCTTCCTTTGATATGGTTTAATATTCACATTTTTTTTTTGATACTAGAGGAGTTTTGTTCAAATTTATACAGTGAATCTTTTTGATCAAGCATTCAATATATGCTTACTTTCCATGCACTTATTCAACCTTTATCATGTTCAATGTAATAAGCCAAAACATCAAGTAGAACCTCATAAACAATTCAAAGTTCATCAATATGATGTCATTTTTCATCATATAGGGTGTCCAAAGGTGCGTTTAGCACAGCGCTCTATATGAGACTATTAAAGGAGATATATGCTGATTATAAATATATAATAAAAAATATGAATATATGTATATGATGAGTATGTTGTATTTTGGCGCCATGCCGGGATATAAAATGAATTTTGAGACAAGAGGCAGTTTCGCGGGAAATTTTGGCGGGATTTTTTTCATTTTTTTAATGAATCATAAAGAAAACATCCTCGCTCTTGCAAAAAAATGCAAAGACTGTAAAAAAATCTACGAGACATTGGTAAAATGCTTCGGTATGGATGCTCCTAGCTATTCCACTGTAACGTATCATGTTAGGATGTATCACTTCATGAACAAAAAGGCGCCCATCATAAAAATTGACAAAAAATCGCCGGATCAAAGAAAAATCAAAGCAATTCTTCAAGCGCTAGATGAAGACCAAGAGCATCACTCAGAAGATAGAGGAGATGACAAAGATACCACGTACAACAGTCAGTTATTATCTGCACAATTATTTGAACTACAAACTAGCGTATACACGTTGGGTTCCGCACAACCTTAATTCAGTTCACAAAAAATCTAGAGTCCAATCTTCGAAAGAGCTCCTCTCTATATTGGGTGCGTATCAATCCAAGAAGTTTCGCTTTTTAGTAACAGGGGACGAGTCTTGGTTTCAATATGCAACAGAAGCCAAAATCATGTGGATCCCGAAGGATGAAAATCCGCAAACATTCCCGAAGAAAAAAATTGACACACCAATGATGATGTTGTCGGTTTTTTGGGGCGTGAATGGCATCATCGCAATTGATATTCTTCAAAAACCTAATACGATGAATGCTCAGTATCTAATTGACAATGTTCTTACTCAAATTATCAATTCTGATGAGTTTGAGAAATCCAAACAACAAAAACAAAAGTTTGCAATTCATTTTGATAATTCAAGAGTTCACAAAAGTCATAAGGTAATGAATTACTTGGTGGAAAACAATGTCAAAGTTGTTCCAAACCCAATTTATTCACCTGATATTGCACCCTCTGACTTTTATTTATTCGGCACGCTAAAAAAGAGAGCTGAAGGACGCGAATTCGCGAGTCCAGATGATCTTGAAAATTTTGTAAGAGAGCAATTTGAGCAATTTTCTCATGATGATTTAAAGCGTGTCTTTCAAGCCTGGATCGATCGCTGCGAACGCGTGATTGAATCCAATGGTGATTATATTTAAATAAACTTTATATATATGTAACTTGTTTATTTCTATTCGCAGTATTCAGGTTTGTGCTAAACACACCTTTGGACACCCTATATATTTCATCGTTTTATCCAAGTTATCATAATTGACAATTATCTGCGCAGAATACAAAGATACACAGGAGAATGATGGCCGTTCGAATAGCTGAGGCTCACAAGGGAAAACTATTTAATCAAATGCGATCATAGCAAAAATTAAATAAGGGAACAACTTTGCTTGATGAATCGAGTGCTTATAAGACATATTAAAATGTTCTCAATTTGAGCCCATAATTAATGAGGAATTCAAATACTGCTATAGTGAGCTTCTTTGAATTAAAAAATGCTTAGATCAGAATATAATTTTGTAAAAAGAGCGTAGACTAATATAAATTAGTATTAAATCAAACAAAACAACATATTTATAATATAAACAAACAAAATAATATAGTTAAGAATGGAAATTCTCATCAGTCCATTTCATTTTCAAAGGGAAGTAGTTCTTTGCAGATAATCTTTCTCTTTTCTTGATTGATGGAACAGGAAATCTTCTTTTTGCGCGTTTCTGCATCTCTTTTACTAAGACTGACTCTTTTTCAAGTTCGCAATCGGCAAAAATCAGAATTTTATAGTACATATCTATTACAACAATTGGCTCCAAGTCTGCAGGATGTCCAAAAAGGAACTCTGAAGCCATTTCTTCGATTTTTTCGTTGACATTCATCCAAAATGAGACACAGGGGAAGAACATCGAGCTAATTAGGTCTGGTTGAATTATCAATGGATTATTTGTGATCCAACTGTCCATATTCTTATAATATCTTATGAGCCACGACAAATTTGGAAATAAATCAAAATAATTGTCGTTTCTAGGGGGACCTGGCATATACGGTATGACTTTATTATTGTAGTAGTCAAGCATCATCTTAATAACGCCTGGTAACTGTTGTAGCTTGACAGCGGCAATAATTGCAGGATTTACCGATTGAAGAAGAATTACGTTGGAATGAGTAATCGGGAATGATTCTGAGAAGACTCTGATCCTGTGAACAAATTTATTGTTCTTGTGAACGATAGATCTACTCAAAACTACAAAAGGTAATGAACTGAAGGAATAAGAGACCCATTGGTACTCTACTTTAGTAAAGAATAGTGTTCCAGGCATCACACACCTTGATTTAATTTGAGAAGGATTAGTTCTGATAGTTGGTAGATAAAATATTTCAATTTTTGCATCAAAATGTATTGGTTCTGTAAAAACTCGCTTAATATATTCTTGTATTTGCATCTGACTTGATGTTTTATCATCACTTATGCAAATTGAATCTGAATCATCAGATTTCGGCTTGGAACCTATGACATCAATAGTAGTATTCGTATTAGCGCACTGTACTACTGATGTTGACGTAAATGTAATTAGTTTTACGAAACATTTTGGTGGGGCATTGAAAAAATTTTGGAAAAAAACTGGCTCTTCGATTGGAGTATTTGAGAAACTGCTATTAGCTGTAAAAGCTGCTTCCATTACTGTTCTTAAGTCTGACGCATTTATTAGAATATTGTTAATTGTTATAGCATTATATAAATTAATTTGAAGCGGCATATCGATAAAGAATGCTGTACCGTTTAGTGATTGGATAAATGAGATATTATTCTTGTAAAGTATGCAAAATCCGCATTTTGCAGTTGGTGGAATCGTTTCTACGTTTATTGCGTTTGATGCTGATGCTAATGAATGAAAATACTGATCAGAAGTACCTCTACCATCTATAACGAATATAACATTAAAACTATACTCATTTCCCGCTGGAATTTCTATTGCAAAATTTTTATTTTCTTTTTGATCACGTGATATTTGTGTTAAATCCATCTTGCATATCGGACATATGTTTTTCCCATTCGATGATTCACTGATTTTTGTAACTGGCGTATGACATCTAGAACAAGTTCCGAGTTTTTGACGCTCTAGAATATGAAGTTGGTCACTTTCATCGAAGCAATTTAAGCCAATGTATAATGGTATACATGAGTCATTGGCTAAGGCTTCATTATCGGGCCAAATCGAAACAGAAGGTATCATAAAAATTTTTTATATCAGAATAAAAAAAAATTTGTCAATTATTGTTCAAAAATTTGCCGTGTAAATGATTCAATTATTTTGTAATTTGAGTTGAATTCGGCATATATTTTGGAAACATATCAGATTTACAGAATATAGAGATTTCTCTAAAATATATATTAATTATTCATTTATTGCTGCTCACACACTAATTTTAGTTATTCTTTTAAGTAAATGCCCCGTGATTTAAGAATTATCGATGTAATAACCTTAACTTTTAAAGTTCATCGTTATATTATTATATGTCACATGTATATATGATTGCAGATACATAATCGCATTGAAATTTAGCTGATAAAAAACTTAGTAGTAGTATATGACGGGTTGTGTGACTTTTATTGTAAACGTAAGAATTCATACAATATTGAACGATTTTGTATCATTTTTTTTAACATATGAAGTAAAAAAATGTATGATTCTTACGGTTTTTATTCTTACATAAATGACCCAACAAGTAAAACCAGATAAAATAGATTATCGAATTTTAGAGGATGGTGTTCCTGTTTATATTCAAAGATTTAAAGGGAAGCAATATTATAGAATTGTTAATCCTGAATATCTTAAACATCAATTTAAAAAGGAAGACTGTGAATTATTAAACGCTAATGAATATGAAAATGCTAAATCAAAACTGAGATATAAATATATTGGAAGTGATGAAAGGTGTAAAGATAAAGATAAAGTTTATTCAGTTTCATATAATGAATGGAAAAACAATAAGATAAGAAAACATTTAGGAGATTATGGGAAATGTTCTGAATTCTTCAAATCTAGTATATACGAGAGAGTAAAAGAAATTAGAAATAATTATTTTCATGAATAAAAGATTCACTACCATAATGAAATACAATATCGAACGATTTTGTATCATTTTTTTAACATATGAAGTAAAAAAATGTATGATTCTTACGGTTTTTATTCTTACATTTTTGAATAAATCAAGATTTAAAAATTTTCAAATTGTAAGACATTTACACTCAGCTCATACATAATAACATTAATTTTAAAAGAAGCTATATATACAGATGATGTCAGATATTCCGCGATTAATTAAACATTGTTTAAATCCTGAATGGAATCAATGGAGTCATAATCAAAGACCTCATAAACGAGAAAAAGAAATTAGAAACTAATGATTATTTGAATTTATGAAATCAATTATTTGATTCATTCTTTCTTCAATCTCTTCTATTCTTTTTGTTAAATCATCAATTTTCATTAATGAGGTGATTCTTGATTGAGGAATAGATTTCAAACTAACCACTCCTTTTATTTTTGAAATTTTGAATCCATCAACTTTAAACATTTTATTCAATTTACACGTTGTCAATTCTTCAAATAATTTTTTATTATTAGCATAATAGTCATTAAATTCTTCAACAGATGAAAAAATTTTTATTTCAGTAATTGGTTTAACAACGTTTATTTTTTGTTGAACATTTTCACTTTCATTTATTTCTTCCTCCTCTGTTTCATTTATTTTTAACATCGGTTTCATTTATCATTAAATAAAAATTAGAATATAAGTGATGAAATATATTTTTTAATTAATATTAAATCAGAAATGGCGGCAGGATTCTTTAAAAAATTATGGGATGGAATTAAGAAAGCTGCGGGTTGGGTTCATAAAAAGATTATTAAACCCATTGCAAACTTTTTGGCACCAGTAGCGAAAACGGCAGGAACTATCATAGGTGGAGTATTAGGTACTAAAGCAGGTAATCCGGCGATGGGAGCACAAGCAGGTAACGCAATTGGTGGAATAGCTGAAGGAATACTTAATAAAATAGGGGGTAGATAGTGGAAAAATAAATTATTTTAAAATTATTTTTATCTTAGTATCGGTTGTAGTCTTTGATAAACTTTTTCTCCTTTATTTAAAACTTCTCTTATTGGGGCAGCTTTTGGTGTTATTGATTCAGCAACGTCACTAATTGCTTCTTTATTCTTAAATATCCAATTTGCTCCCTTCTTCAATGTTTCCCAAACTTTACTCGCCCCTCTTTTTACTCTATCCCACAGTTTCTTAAATATACCTGCAGCCATAGTTGATTATTTCATTAAAATTAAAAATTCATTTCCATCTTTTAATTTTGATTTTTTTATTTATTAATAAATGACGACTAACTATTTGGTGCCAAACACCAAACCAATTAATGGAAATGTGTTTCATTCATTCGAAAAGATAAATGAAATATTCGCAAAGAATGATGGTAGAAGATATTATAGAGAACTTGAAAGTTCATGCTATGACTCTGATGCTCCATATTTTGATGATAAACAAACTCATTTAAGAATTACAAATCCGGCTCATGATGTGAACCAATTAGGTGACACATATATTAAACGCAAAGTTAAAGCAACTCTAGTTTCAAATAAAGCTTTCACATGTGATGCCGCTTTTAAATGCATGCGTTTATTCGTTGGTTACAAATCATCAAATCAAAGCTTTAAGCAATTAGAAGTAGAAACTGAAAGAGGTGATGCCGGTTATCTTCAGATGGATTGCGCCCGTGAATCTTTCGCATTTGCAACATATAAACCAAAATCAGAAAGGAAAGTTAAAAAGTTTGTTCATTCGTTATATAATAATGTTCAAAAATATGATAACTCGGTATGTGGTAAATATATTGACCCTTCAGAAGTTTTCAAGAAAGAAAATGAAGAAGTTGATGTCACTTTTGATATGATTATTCCGGTAAATGATTTGTTAGCATTTCAGGCGTTCGATGATTATCCTAAATCATTTGGTGATATCATTCTTAAATATTATGTTTTCAGGGATACTTTAGTATTTTGTCAGGTTGACCCGTTAAGAGTTGCTGATTTACAAAATTACGTTTATGAAAAGATAACTGATGAAAATTATGAAAAGATTATGAAGCATGTTTATAAATATGATCGCAAATTCCAACAAATCGGACTTCCTGCCAAATTAATTACAAGCTTAGCCGCTACATCTGCTGACGCAACAGTTGATGGTGTTATTATTTCATGCACAAAGATGGAAGTTTTAGAGGATAAATACATTACACCAGGATACGGTTTAATTGAAGAATCAGTTAAAGCAATACCACGTTTATTCAGTAAGGAAGATCCATTCATGATTCCAGCTCAACATATTGACGTTCGTTCACTAAATGGAGGTTGCATCACTCCTGAAGGTATTAGCTCAGATTTCTCATACGCTCTTCATAATGTTACAGATGTTGTGTTAACATTTCCGAAGAATGCAATGCAAAGAACGGTTTTAGAAAATCCAATGCTTCGAGGTCTTCAGGTCACTATAGATTCCAGAAACTTCCCCGATCAAGCGATGACCACAGTGGGCGACATATTCTTTACACGTATGCTTCAAGCTTCTGATTTAGATGGGGTGAATGAATGCACGGAAGAATACGAGGACTCATTAACTAGACCACTGAATGATGATGATGGCGCGCCATTAACTAGAACATGGAAAGACCAAACTTCATTCTTATGCACTATTCCAGTTCAACGTGATGGAGCGGGTATATTCTTTGATGGATTAGAAACTTTCAACTCACAAGTTACAGTACAAGTGAAAGCTTATCCAATCATTCAGGGTGAAAATGACACTTACTGTTCAAAGGTGACAAATCCTCCTCAGGTTTGGTTTACTAGGACTACATATTGGACATGGACACCAGATGAAGGTTTGAAATATCATCCAACAGGTACACCACCACAGTATAGAAGTTCATATGATGAAATATTGATGAATAGAAATGTTTAAAATTATAAATTTATTTTTGATTAAATGGAGTTAAACTCATCCACCCCTTATGAAGAATTAGCAGGAGTATATAATACATACGTAGATGATATGATTAATGAAGCATTGAGTGATAATAGAAATGCTCTATCTAAGGAAAAATTAATGAAAATTCCATATTCTGAATGTTACTTAAATTCAATCACTGAAGCAATTGGTAAACAAAATAAAGGTAAAACATTAACGATATTAAAACAAATTATCATTATTGCTAACACTTCCCCCATTCACATGTGTTAATTTATATCAACCGTTCAGGTTCACCTTCAGATGATACATTTGAATCTTTAAAGCATTTAATCAAAATTCCAATTATTTATTTATCACAAGAAGAAGCAGAAGATTATTTAAAAAACTTTTTAATGTATAAAGAATTATATAATACAATCAAGAAGCAAGGATTAGAGAATAAAATTATTGATAAACAACGGGATGAATTATTTGAAACACTTTCTATTTCAAATTTTGATAGAGAATTTTTGCATTCACTCATTTTTCTAGATGATGCAGTGAAATCAAAACTAATAACAAATGAGAAATCATATTTTAATCAGTTATTAACTCAATGTCGACACATTCAGTGTTCATTCTTCATGGCTGTTCAATACTTCAAAGCATTAAGCACAAACATTAAATCAAATCTATCAACCCTTTTCATTTTCAGTGGGTTTAGTCGTCAACAGTTGAACGTTATGCTTTATCAAGTGAATTTACCAATGAGCATTAATGAACTTTACACACAATATCAGCAATTAGGTGAACATGGAAAAATAATAGTTGATTTAAATAAAGGAAGTGTTAAATTTGATTAACTTTTTATAATTAATTTTTATTTTTTATTTATAATTAAACATGACAGAAATAGCAAATCTTCTACAGGTTCCATTAAAACAAGGGACAAACAAAAAGGGTGCATATAATAGAACTATGAAAGTTCCTGATGGAATGAAAGAATTAGTTCATATTGTTGCTGGTCTTCAAAAAGATGTTAAACAAATGAGAAACGTTTTAACATTACCAGAAGCTCAAGCATATGCCAAACGTCATGGTCCAAATTGGGAAGCACACGAAGCAGACATTACGGGTCCAAATGGAAAACCTGATGGTATAAATGAAGTTTTCGTTACTGATGGTCAAGGAAATATTAAAGTCATAAATGGTTATAAATTAACTATAACTGATTATCCTAAACGTAAAGCATATAATGAACGTTATCCTATGCAATTTGATGAAAATGGAAAAGCTGTTAAACAATACATTGGAGAAGGTGAAAATGGTCCAATTAATTCATACCGTCATAATCCATATTCTTATTTCAATGAAGAATTAAATGCTGTTGAAGAGGGACCGGATGGATTACCACGATATTCTAACCAGTTTGATGGTCAATATGCAAATATTAGACCTGAAATTTCAGCTAAGAAATTCTTTAAAGTTGCTTTATTCGATCCAGTTTTCGCAAATGTTAAAGATGAACTTAAACAGCAATTCCAACCAATTATAGTAGCAAGAATTGCATCAGGTGCTTTATCTCAAGCATTCAAAGATTTAATTAAGAAATCATTATATCAGCAACGAGGTTTAACTTATGATTTAGTTAAGGAATCAGATAAAAGAAAATTTGAGAAATCAGATGATTATAAGAATGCAATTAATGAATATATTAGGTCTATTAATTTCGATGAAACAGCTAAAAATCAACTTCATGAACAAATACAGGGAATAATAGATTCAAAAGTTCCAGCAAAATAAAAGTTTAAATATATTTTTTTTATTCGAATATAAATGAGAAGACGTTTCACTAGTCAAAAGAACACTAACGCAAAAGCAGAGATTACGGTTGGTTATAACGTAAATGATGATAAATCACGAATTATTCAAAATGTTAAAGTTAATGTTAGCCCCGAATTAACAAGGTCAGCAACTCAACCAAATTTATTAACTCGTGACTTACCGAAGAATGAGGAGAATGAAGAAAACCATGAGAATGGAGACCCAATCATTTTATCTGAACCCGGTAAAGAACCTGTTGAAATTCCCACTTATCCAACATACCCCCCGCCTCTTTCATCAAACATCGAGAACCCATATAAAATAGACATTAATTCTGAATTAATGAAAATTTACCGTGATATAATAATTAATAATTATGATTCAATAATAAATTTAATTGATCAATCCGGTTTAATTATTTTACCTTATGAATCATTAATTCACATTATCGCCATTCTTTGTGATGTTCAAGATTCAGACGTTAAGATTCAATTTTTCATAGATGATGAGGTTTCATGCTGCGGAACAGTTGCAAAAATAAATCCTATAAAGGATATTAGCACAATTAAGATATCAAAGAATGGAACAACAACTGAACTTCATTTAACATATAATGATATTTATAATAAAATAGTTGATGAATATAAAATATCACTTGAAAAATTCTTTGTTAAGGCTATTTAATATTCAAGCATTAACATTATCGAATAATAATCCTTTGAATCATAATCAATAATAATTGACCTTTCACCAGTTTCTATCGTTTGTTTTATTTCTTTTTGTTCCCCACTATCCGGATCGGTCATTGTAATTGTTTTTGTTATAGTATCAGCTTTATCTTTAACTTCAATCTTTTTTCCATCGGGATATTTAAACCAAAATTCCAAAAATTCGATATTGTCAATCTGTTCATATTTTAATCTATCAATTGCATTTTTAATACCATCTGAAAATCTTATGAAATGGTCATTATATGGGTTTGATTGAACTAAATTTGAATGAAGTGAAATATAACCCGTTGATGAATATGACACTGACTCATATTTTCTGAAAACACTAAAATTTATAACATGAATGAATTTCTTATTCGTTGAATTTATGAATTCTTGAGGTAATCTTATTCTAGTTTTATTTATCACTGGAAAATAACGTTTTACCATATTTTTATTCGTAATAAAAAATGTCAATTATCAATATTATTTCGAATAATAGCTGTGAATTAAATTTAACAGATAGCGGAATTTATAATGTTACTCTCGTTTCTGTGAGTGGTAAATTTAATCCCATTCTTTTAGACCCTTCAGATTATATATCATTTATTAAAGATGACCATGAAAAAACGTATGATATGTATATAAATAATGTGATAGTGAAATGGGATATTAACATGATTTTAAGTTATTTAAATGAATCATTTATCGTATGGTATGAAGAAAATTTTAAATCAAAACCCGATAAACTTTTTGAACTTGATGAAATAAATAACCTTATTAAATTTCCGCTGAAAATTAAATTTTGTACTCCTCATCTTCGTTCATTGTTGGGGATATTAAATTTTGAAAAAGATGTTGGGGATGTTTTGTATTCTGACACTGGTTCCAATTTCATTTTAATCAAATGTGATAAAGTTAATACCCCAATGAGATTTTCACATCAAACATTAGACCCTAACTCTTACCCATCAATACAAAACATTTATCCATCAACTTAAACACATTTTCTTTATCATATCCGTTTCAATTATCCGGGAATTCATTTATTCTTCATTCAAAAGATTTATCAAATATTAAATTTAGAATAACTGACCTATTTGATTGTGATTTAGAATTTATGAATGAAATATTATGGCAATTTCAAATAGAAAAAATAGCTGATGAGATAACGGATTAAATATTTATTTTTAAATCATAATAAATGATTAAACAACAGCAACCACATCAACTTAAGGCGCAAAGCGCCCAGGTCCTTCAGACCATTACATACGCCATATATGCATATAATTCAAAGACGGCAGAACAAACGCAAAGGTTGAAATATGGAGATTTGGAGATAGTATTGAAAAATGACCGTTTCGAATTCGTTTGCAAAGGTGGTGCAGTGATATCAAATATAAAAGAAATTTTATTTATGAATTCAAAAATTAAAGGAATAACGGATGATATAACATCAATTCCACCAGAAGAACAAAGATATTACGCATTAAATGCATTTCCTAAAGTTTTGAAGATTGGAAGATTTAATTTAAATGAGGAATTCATAGAAGGTTTCCTAAATGGCATAATGAAGAAGGCAGATAAGGAATATGTGGATAGTGAATTAGAGAAGAAGGCAGATAAGGAATATGTGGATAGTGAATTAATGAAGAAGGCAGATAAGGAACGTGTGGTTAGTGAATTAGAGAAGAAGGCAAATTTGGTTTATGTTGATGAAAAAGATAATGAAATTAAAGAAAGGGTTGAATGGTATCATGAATGGACATCGAAGATTTTAAAAGCTAAAGCTGATACAGGATGGGTTTCAGGATGTTTAGACCTTAAAGCAGATAAAACTTATGTTAATGAAAATTATGCAAAGAAGACGGAAGTAAATGATGTGATTACAAGCATGAAAAATGAAATACTTCAAACATTATATCCTGTTGGTTCTATTTATACGTCAATGAATTCAACAAATCCTGAAACAGTTTTAGGTTTTGGTACGTGGAAGCAGATTGTAAATAAATTCTTATACTGTGCTAGATATTCAAAGCAAGCAGGAGGTTCGAAGAAAATTAAAGAAGCAAACCTTCCACCGCACACTCATACAGGAACTACAAACTTTTCTGGCGACCATAGCCACTCATTAAGAGACCACCCATTATACAACTCAGACTATGAAGTTGGTTATGATGTTTTATCTCCAGCTTATAACAATTCAACAAAAAAGGTTTTTCGAAAAACTGAACCAGGAGGAAATCATTCACACACTTTCACAACAAATCCAACAGGCTTGGGTAAAGATTATATGCCACCATTTGTGACTATGTTCGCATGGTACCGCGTTTATTGAACGCTCAATGTTTGTGAAACAAACTTTAGAACGGACTGAAAGTCCTGAGCTCCAAAAAGAGTGAACGGTATAATTTAACATTTTATTTTTATCATAAATGACAAAAATAATTAAGCCAACTATTTCTAAATTAATGATACCAATGAAATCATTTCATGGAGTACTTATCCCAGGTTCTTCACAATTAGCCGGGGCAAGTGTTGTGACTCAAGGTGGAACATTAGCGAATCCATTCAAATTATTAACTAAAGATGAACTTAATAAAATTTACAACAAAAATATATTAAATCGTTAATGTTTTCAGGTTATTCAATAATTAATTATTTTTGAATAACTGAAGGTGTCACCACGTCACCATGTGTCACCAGGTTAATTAACTTCTCTGAAAAAATGAGACAACATGACATTTTGACAACAACAACAAAAATATGATGCAGTCCAAAAATAAAGTTAGTTTTAAAATTATTTTCATTTATTTATTTTGTATGTAAGAACAGAAATGTCAGTCGAAGCAAAAACATTCACAAACAAATCTAATGGCGAAACATTCACAAAAGGCACTTATAATGGTATTGAAGTCTTACGTAGAGACAAGGATGGTTACATTAATGCAACAAAGATGGCAAGAGAAGCGGGAAGGTTAAACCATTTAAACAGATTTCTCAATAGTACTAAAATGCAGGAAATTCTTGAGTTTTGGATGAATGAATACGGTCAAGCCAAAAGTGGCTCGACCTCAAAACAAGCATTTTATGAGCTTACTAAGGGTGTTATAAATGAATTCAAAGGTATTTACATACATCCTGACCTCGTTCATTTTGTTGCTGAATGGTGCTCTGTAAAGTATGCATTTTATGTCAAAGATATTATGGACTCCATAGACAAGAAAGTTCATGAGAAGTTAGATGAAGAAGAACTCGAAGATACAGTAGAGAATGCTAAACATTTGTTTGAAGAAGAAGTTAGAAAAATGAGCGAAAAACAATTAGAACATGAACGTGAGATATGTTATGGTTATAGAGATTCTCCATACGAACTAGACCAATGGGAACAAGAAGATTTAAAGAGAGAATTTAGAGAATATGAACTCGCTAAGATAGCATTAGAAACTGCAGAAAAGAAGTTAAAAGTTTGGGGTCGTTTTGTACAAAAATATTGTGAGTAAATGAACCATTTATTTTTGACAACAACAACAAAAATATATTAAATCGTTAATGTTTTCAGGTTATTCAATAATTAATTATTTTTGAATAACTGAAGGTGTCACCACGTCACAATGTGTCACCAGGTTAATTAACTTCTCTGAAAAAATGAGACAACATGACATTTTGACAACAACAACAAAAATATATTAAATCGTTAATGTTTTCGTTTAATGTTTTCGTTAATGTTTTCAGGTTATTCAATAATTAATTATTTTTGAATAACTGAAGGTGTCACCACGTCACCATGTGTCACCAGGTTAATTAACTTCTCTGAAAAAATGAGACAACATGACATTTTGACAACAACAACAAAAATATATTAAATCGTTAATGTTTTCGTTTAATGTTTTCGTTAATGTTTTCAGGTTATTCAATAATTAATTATTTTTGAATAACTGAAGGTGTCACCACGTCACCATGTGTCACCAGGTTAATTAACTTCTCTGAAAAAATGAGACAACATGACATTTTGACAACAACAACAAAAATATGATGCAGTCCAAAAATAAAGTTAGTTTTAAAATTATTTTTATTTTTTTATTCCCATATAAATGACAGCAACAAACGACAGCAGCAACTTTATCGTTTCTGATGAAAAAGTTATTGATTCATTAGTTGAGGAATTAGTTGTGGCAGAAACTAAAACCCTCAACGAAAGAATTGGTGAAAACAAAATTGATTTACATAACTACCTCAAACATGATGGAGGAAGAGGAAGGAAAACCGGTACAGCTTTATTAGTAAATAAAATTTCAAATTTAACGATTATAGATGTTGATATCAATAAATCGTACAATGATGAACTTAAAGAAACGGTTAGAAAAGACATTCTATCAAAACTTTCGGATAAAGATGTTATTGTTAAAACCGCTTCAGGAGGTCTTCACATTTATTGCAACACTAATTTCTTCTATGCAGTTTCGAACAGAATGATTAAATGTTATTCCTGCAATGATTATGATATTGATATCATGACTTCTATTGATGATTCAAAACGTTCATTGGTAGTTATGGCTGATTCAAGAGTTCGCAAGAATGCAACAGAACCAATCAGTACATACTCATTCATTCGTGGAAGTTACGATTCAACATTAACTAGAACAGTGAATGATATATTAAATGATTTGAATATTAAGGTAAGAGTTGAACAGAAGAATGAAGAAATAAAGAGTATAATGAATGAAAACAAAGATGTAAACATTGACGATAAACTTGCCCAGAGCATAGTTGATGGCATCTGTGATTTTGAAGTACATAATGACGGTGGAAGCATGAATTTAGAAAAAGAAGTTACATTATTCACACTGTTTCAAGCAATTAATTCATTACCCAATCATTTAATTAATGAAGCATACGATAACGTTTATAACTTCTGCAGTTTAACAGAAAATGCAAAAAGTAATTTTGAAAAAGCACGTAATAGATATGCACATTTAATGACTTCTCCATTTGTTTTGGTGAAGATTCTAAAACTATATCAAAAAGAATATTATGATGAATACGTTTTACCTTTATTACGTAAGCCAAAAATAACATTTGATATCAAACTTGATGACTCGTTTTTGATAACAGATATTAGACGCAAGGCTGAAAATCATCAGTATAAAAACAGTTCTGAAGTAATTGAGGATTTATCACGTGTAATCCGTTTTGTAGATTCTGGAAACAAATACTTCATTCAAAAGGACTACAATATCCACGACAAAATGAATCAAATATCATTCGTTCTTCAATCAAACATGAAAGAGTCACTCAAAATGATTAAATTATTTAAAGAAGAAGGTAAAACCATAACAGCATGGGATTTACTACTAAATCAATTGTCTTCATTAACAGTTAAAGGTGTTTGCTTTAAATCTTATTCCCCAGATGTTTTCTCAACGTTTCAAGGTTATAAATACAACATTCTCGAAAAACCAGATTACTCAAAAATTGAGATGTTTATGAATTTCATTAAAGAAGCCATTTGTGATAATAACGATGAAGTGTATAAATACCTACTCGGTTGGATTGCATCAATGATTCAACATCCTGGAATCAAGAATGAAACAGCAATTATTTTGAAAGGACTTCAGGGAACAGGTAAAAACAGATTTACAGACATTATTTCTGAACTTCTTGCCGGTTATTCATGCAAAAACATTACTGAAATAAGTGAGCTAACGGGTAATTTCAATTCAGTAGTTGAGAATAAAATGTTTCTTGTACTTAATGAACTCAAGAATGTAGGTGAAGACAGACTCGCAAACTTCGACGCTTTGAAATCAATTATTACGGATAATGAGATTAGAATTAATGAAAAGAATCAACCCAGAAGAACTGCTCAGAATGTTGCCAATTTCATTTTCGTAACTAATAACGTTTACCCTGTCAAAATTGAAGTTGGAGACAGAAGATATGTAGTTTTAAGAGTTAATGGTAAATTTAAGGGTCAATTTGATTACTTCAAGAATTTGATGGATTCATGCACAAAGGAATTTTATGATAATTTACTGACGTATTTTATACAATATGACCTTTCATCATTTAATGTACGAATCATACCGATGACTGAAGCCAAACAAGATTTAATTGAATTATCAACAAATCCTTTAGATGTATGGATAAATACACATTATGATGAATTGTGTGCAGGTATGACGTGTAAAAATGCGCTATTCTGCAAACCATCAGACATGAAAGACAAGAATTTTCAAATGAGCATTAAAGATAAATGTGATAGGAAACAGAGAAGAATAGATGATAAACAGACGTGGTGTTATGTTTTGAAAGAAGAAATGAAAGGATTATATAAACAGGTTGAACCAAACGATAATGAGGATTCATTTACTGACGATGAAATACCCGTAAATGAAGCTTTATAAAGTATGATTGGAATTTATTTTTGCATTCAACCCATGCTGTGTTGTCAAAATGTCATGTTGTCTCATTTTTTCAGAGAAGTTAATTAACCTGGTGACACATGGTGACGTGGTGACACCTTCAGTTATTCAAAAATAATTCATAAATGCCTTCCTCATTAATCCCCCATGTTGTCAAAATGTCATGTTGTCTCATTTTTTCAGAGAAGTTAATTAACCTGGTGACACATGGTGACGTGGTGACACCTTCAGTTATTCAAAAATAATTCATAAATGCCTTCCTCATTAATCCCCCATGTTGTCAAAATGTCATGTTGTCTCATTTTTTCAGAGAAGTTAATTAACCTGGTGACACATGGTGACGTGGTGACACCTTCAGTTATTCAAAAATAATTCATAAATGCCTTCCTCATTAATCCCCCATGTTGTCAAAATGTCATGTTGTCTCATTTTTTCAGAGAAGTTAATTAACCTGGTGACACATGGTGACGTGGTGACACCTTCAGTTATTCAAAAATAATTAATTATTGAATAACCTGAAAACATTAACGATTTAATAACTGATAACAAAATTTAATTTTTATATAAATGGATACCCCACAAGCTCAAAATTTACCACGAATCATAACAAGGGAGGAAATGATAAAATGATGCAAGAACGAATTAAAAACAACAAACCCAGAAGGGTTCGGGAAGAGGAATAAAAATTAAATTTGGATTGAGTTTAAAAATTCATCTTTATTAAATTCATCTCTTCCAATCAATTTATTTATTCTATTAAATTCTTTTATTTTTGCTTCACTCAGTTTAAGGATTGAACGGTAAGTTTCTAATTTTTCGATTATTTCTTTCCTCTCTTTATCATTTTCAACCCCACCACATTGCAGCTTCTTTTTGCAATAGCATATTTTTGATTTAATTTTGTTTAGTTTCTTTTTATATTCATCGTCAGGACTGTTGGATGCTTCATTGTCACTCATTTCTTACGAAATAAAAAAAATTAAATATTATTTAAATATAATGGAGTAATAAAATAAATCGGAATTTCTATTAATTTATTGTCAACTTCAACTAATGCATTACCGTTAATATATCTAACAAATTCAGCTATTGTATCAAATCTTCGTCTTCTTTTTGTCATTGATTTATCAGTTTTTCCATAATCGAGATGAATCAAAACTTTATCCCCTTGTTTAAAATTCATGAGCCCCGAATTAATTTGTTCACGTTTAACATCATTTAACCTTTCCATTTGTTTTCTAATATATTCCCATTCTTTTGAAATATCATTTTTCATTTCCACCGGTTTCATGTTTATAGTTCTATGCCATGTATTATTGTAATAATATACTAACTGTTGTATGATGGAGTCATGATTTCCATCCCAGTATATCTGACCGTTAACCCCTAACGCATCTCTAAGAGTTCTCATTACTGCATCAACTATTTTATTATGAAACGTATATGGAGAGGATGAAAAGTAAAAATTAATTTGTGGGAAATAATGAGCCATAGCTGCCTGAAATCCTTTATCGCCATCACCCCTTATATTATCTACTCTTTCATGATCTAGTAAGTATTGAATAGCTCTTCTTGTTTCCTGTTCTGTTTTCCCTTTCACTGGAATGCAATATAAATATCTAGTGTTAATGTTAATGGCAAATAAATAAGTAACGTTTCCTTTTGAATATTCCAGATGATCGATTTCGTATGAATATGGATATGGTGCAAATGAAGGGCGATTAAATTTTTCCTTTAACGGTTGAATTTTTGGGTCAATTGGTTTATTTAATATCTTGAAATCCCTTTTAAAATCTTTTTGCTTCTTTAATGTTTGAAACGGATATAATAAAGTGAATGATGAAGGATTAACTGAAGGAGGTTTTGGTATTGCAAGTGATTTAATTTTATCTGCTTTGATTTTGGATGATGAAGTTTTGGATTTCATTCCTCCCTTCATTAATTCCGGATGTATTTTATTCATTTGTTTTAAATATACTGTATATAAAGGTTTGATATACTTTCCCGCTTCGAGTTTATGTTGAAGGATGAATTCCAAAAGTTGATCTTCATTTAAAACTTGGGTTGAACATGGTTTAACTAATGAATCATAAATTAAAGCTTGTGCTTCATTTATGATCTGAAGGACCTGGGTGTTTTGCACCTTTTGTTTTTGTTCCCTTGATTTTTGCGGCTCAGGATTATATAAATTATATAATTCATCAATATCTTCTTCTGTTAATACTTTATTTTTGAAATCTTTCAATTGTTTAAGTTGTGATTTAGTTTTTCCCTTTACATATTCATTATTTTTAATTTTGTCTTTAATTTTAGAAATTATTTTATCATGATATTTCAAAAATTCATTTTCATAATACGGATAATAATAATCCATATCATCACCCGTTATATAGTTATCATATTTTTGAAGATATGCTTTTAAATCATAATAAGTAAGAAAATTTTGATTAAATACTAAATCATCAATTATTTTTTTTAACTCTATGGTATTCATTTATATAAAAATAAAATAAGTGTTTTAAGGGTGCATAGTATCAAAACCATTATTTACATATTGAATCACCTCATTCAACAGTTCCTTTTGTCTCTTCTGTGGTATTTTATTAAAAATACAATTTAAAATTGTATTAAATAAATGGCATACAACATCCATTTTCACAACATACGGCTTTAGTGTGTGCTCCTGTTAATGCAGTCTTACCGATTGTTAAGCGAGTCATCAACCTGTTTTTAAGTTGTAAATGAATATTCTGACCATCAAATATCACTTTATCATTTATTATATCCAAATAATTTTTAGGTGTTAATTGTTTATTTTGTCGTAAACTAACACCTTTCATTTTTTGTGCAATCTTTTTAAAATCACTTTCATCAATTGAACCGTTGAATGATGTATAACACTTAGGGCATAAAGCAACCATGTTATCACCTTGTTTCTCAATTGCTAAACCCAATAACTTCTTCTCATGTGCTTTTTCTTCGGCTTTATTCTTTAATTTAGGTTTAAATTTCTCATCAAAACAGAAGAAATCAAATGGTGCGAATTTGAAAATGTTTTATCATAAAATTGTTTATCGGTAACAATTGCTTGAAATGCTTGAGTGTTAGGAAGATTTGGGTCGCCAGCGATTGCCCAATAAGATGAATCAGTATCACCTTCAATGAAATGAAAACGATTAACATCCATGCATTTATACATAAAATCATAAATGAAAACCAAATACCAGTATTTAGCATTATCTAAAGTGAAGAATGCCTCTTGTAAACATGTTTCACATCTATAAAATCTATCTTTAAGCATCATTTGATATGTATCTTCACCTATTTCTCTTATGTTTTTAAACTTATTTGACATACATGCAACGCGTGCCTTCTGTGCATTCATTATTTTAGTCTTTGTGTAATTTTGTGTATTCATTGCATCGTAACCATATGATCCATTAAGCGAAATCTTGCAAAATAAACTTTTTCCTTTATTTCCTTCTAATTCAGCCTTTTGTCTTTCGTTCATAAATTTGTTCGCAAATTCATTAAAACAAGTGTTTTTAGTAAATGTTAAAATTGATTGAATGTCATCAATGATAAAATGAAATCTCTCTATTAGATACCAAAGATAATAAGAAGAAAATGGTTGATATTGGTTGTGTGTTGATGCTAACTGAGTTAATTTTTTCTGTTTCTGGTCAACTGGTAGATTGTTTGATTTCATGTAATTATACATAAAACTGCCAATTGTTTTTTCATGAGTGGGGGACAAACTCGCCCATTGTCACTTTTTCATTAACCTTAAACTTGTAATTTTCATTATTTTTAATTAACCTTATTTCTTTCCCAATTCCTGATTTATTTTATTCACTTACTATTAAAAGTCACATTTTAATAAAATATAATAATTTATTTATAGCATTTTTTACTATACTGTAATAAAAAATTAATTATAATAAATTAAATGTTTATTAAATCAAATGTTTTCTTTGCAATAATATTTTTAATGTTGAGTAAACAATGTTGGGATCAAGTGTATCATTTTTCAGACCTTTCTGAACAGCTTCAAGCATACTGATGCATTCGACTTTTTTAAATTGTGTCATTTCTTCGAAATCTCTTGTGACTTTTTTGATAACTTTAACACTTCTCTCTGAATCCAGACCTTTAATTTGCAACTTAATCAGGAATGAAGGAACAACACTGGAATATAACTCGATGACAAGTTCATCGAGTCGAAGATTTGGTTGTACACCACTTGTATGTGCCGGATACCATTGTGTCAAATTTTTTCTGAAATTAACTTTAAAAGTACTAAGTAAGATCATGAGATATAGCAATATATGTTTAAACCAACTTATATTTTGGTTGTACACCACTTGTATGTGCCGGATACCATTGTGTCAAATTTTTTCTGAAATTAACTTTAAAAGTACTAAGTAAGATCATGAGATATAGCAATATATGTTTAAACCAACTTATATTTTGGTTGTACACCACTTGTATGTGCCGGATACCATTGTGTCAAATTTTTTCTGAAATTAACTTTAAAAGTACTAAGTAAGATCATTTATTTTTGCATAATATAATGCCAATATGGTTTCTTTTGATTTTATTTCATTTATAAGCAAATCAGATTTACCCAAAAACTCCACTCCATAAGCGTTCATTTGCTAAATTAAAAAGTGACAATGGGCTAGTCTGTCCCTTTCTCGTTTTTTCATCTGTGATAATATCTAAGTTTCTTATTATTGGTAAAAAGTTTATGTAATCATTAATGTATTTTTCATCAATGTGACCCTTTACTTCAGCCACGAATAAAGTATTTTTCTTCTTAATTATTCCAAGTGCTTTTGCTTTCTTTGTTGCTGTATCACAAATGATAACACCATTCAATCTTCCCGGCATATACATTTTATGGTCAGTATATTGAATGAAATCATGAGGATTAGATGAAAATGATGAAGGATATAATGAATTAAAATCAACACCAACGA